TTGGGCAGTTTCAGTCAGATGATCAGACTGTTTCTACTCAGGACAAGAAAAATAAAAAAGGAATAGCATTAAGGATGAATGTGGAAAGAGATTGCCACAGGTAAGAAATAAAAGAAAGCAAATGAGATTCAGAACAAACCATGGAGGTTGCCAAGAGCAGAAGAAGAGCAAAGGCGCATAAAGGCAAACATAGCAGGGAGTTTGTCAAAGAATTTCAAATAGCTATTAGACAGACAAAAAGCAGCATTATAACATCTGTAAAGGGATTGAAGATGGAAACAGATATTAAAAAAAAACCAAGAAGAGTTTTTCAAAAGAAGTTAGTAGAGCAACCCATGAAAACTTTGGAAATGATATTAAAATGCTGTGATATCTCTATACCCACAAAGATCAGAATTGTGCAAGCCATGGTATTTCCAGTGATATTTTATGGAAGAGAACATTTGACTTTTAAAGAAGCAAGATAGGAAGAGTACTGATGCTTTTGGACTGGATGTTGGAGAAGACTCCTGAGAATACCATGGATAGCCAAGAAAATGAACTGATGGATCATTTAAAAAAATCAATCCATAATACTGAGACACGAATGACCAGGCTCAAAATTATTATAACTTGGACACATTATGCAGTGACCTAGTTCTTTTGAGAAGTCTATATTGTGGGGGAAAGTGGGAAGAAAGAGATCAACAGCAAGATGGTTGAACTCAGTTACAAAAGTGATTGGGGGCACTTTGGAAGATCTGAAGAAAAAAATCGGGGAAAGATGCTTCTGGATAAAATCTATGTGGTTGCATAGATAGTACAATCAATCAATCAACGAAAAAGGAACTGGGAGAAAGAAAAAATATGTTCAGTGGAAGGGAAAAAATCTCATGGAAATGTAGCAAAACTGCCTATTTCTGGGAGAAAGGGGATATTCTTTTAGATGTAGAATATAATTATAAACTCAGCTGTTGTATGAATTGAATAACTCAACTATTTTTGTATAAAAGTATTTAAAATTCTTTCATTGAAAAAACTGAAAATACAGTTTAAAATTTGTCTATATGTAATGGAAATGTAGAAAATATTTGAATGAAATATCTCAATATTATGTTAAAGTTATGATCTTCAGCTGGGTTCTTTAACTATTCCACTTTAAATTCTCAAAGGAACAATCAGTCATGAGATATTGATGATTTTCATATTTGTAATATGAAGAAAATATTTTTCCATCCCTATGGATTTTGATGTAAAGAATCTGAGACATTTTGATAGGGCACAAAATTTATTGGGATAAACACCTTTGGCTATAAAACAAACCTAGGCAATGTAAAATATTCGCATATAGAATATCTTGACTTTTAAACAAGGGCTGTAATCTGAATGCGTCTCTGTATTTTTAAAAGACAATTATCCATGAAATATGAACTAGAAATCCCAGTTCCTTTGATGGGAGTGAATAAGAAGGGCCATCTGAAATTGTATTTACTGCTATTAAATTTATATTTCAAAAAACAGGTAATAGCAGTGGGATTTCAAACCTACAACATATTTTAAAATCATCATCCATGTTCTGGTCAGATTTATCGGAAACTCACTTTTCTCCTGAGTAGAATTAGCAACTGTTTTCTTGATAACATTTCTATTTGACTCAGGTGAGCTAACTGAAAATCTGCCCTATAAATTTTATTACCTTAACAGTAGGGTAAGCTGTGGGATTATTTTTTCTTTTCTTATCAGCGTTGCTAATACAATGCTGTAGAATAATTTAGACAGTCATTTTTTTAAAAAAAATAAAGCTTTCACTTCAAAGTGACCATAGAGTCTTAAAAATGGTTTTGAAAAAACAAGCATTTGCTTGTATTTATCAGATACATTACTTCTAGCAAGACATGATATGCTTACAAAGGCGCATCTTCAGAAGACCCAATTTGATGCTACAAAAGCTCTCATTAGCTCTTCAAATTAGCAGGTACATCATACTATAGCTTTTTGTTCACAAACCCATGCTTAGCAACTTGGCTCCCTCCCCTATCAAACAGCCTTTCAGATCACAGCTGCATTGTACTGTCTGCCCCCTGCTTGAACTCATTGAAGACGTAATTAATTTGAAAACAAAAAGAGAGTGGGCTGACTTGCAAAGAACTTCAGAATTCTGCACCTGTTTCTGCAGAAATACTGCCAGTGTAAAATGTAGTTCTCAATTTGGTATCAGAATCCTTGTGAATTATCGTTCCTCTGTTTTCTTGTCTGGAAATTGCCACAGATGTTATAATCATTATTGTATTAAATAAAATCAATTATTAGATAACAGAACATGTGAATGTCTGCAGTATGCATGTGTGTATATATACACACATATCATATGTATATATATATATATATATATATATATATATATATATATATATATATATATATATGAATGCTTTTTCTTTAGTGCACCCTGTCGGCCCCCAAATATGGGAGAGAGAAGTCTTTTGCCTGTATCAGCTCAACCTAGAGCCATCCACAGGCAGCAGTCGCTTAACTGTGACATCATATGTGTTTTTCAAAATTTGGATTGCTAACAAAGAATTAAGGGAGTATTGGGATAGCTATTTCGAACTTTATTTAGTTCTCATCAGCCAGACATACCCTTCTGAGATTCGAACCTGGGCTGTCTGCATGTTAAGCAGATGTGTTAGCCCCTAGGCCACAGGCTCTTTCTCACTTTGTTAGCTACATATACATACATACACACACACACACACACTATAGCTCACTTTGTTAGCTATATATATATACATACACACACACACATATAAATTACATTATATATAAAATGCACTGCAGTCCTTCACATGTTATAGGTTAAAAATGATTCACAATTCTAAAAACTGATTTTAATACAATAATATACATTTAATATTATATCTATCTATCTATCTATCTATCTATCTATCTATCTATCTATCTATCTATCTATCTATCTATCTATCTATCTATCTATCTATCTGGATGGATGGATGGATGGATGGATGGATGGATGGATGGATATGGATGGAACCTTGTAGGGTAGGCAAGGCGGGTTGTATGACATGTGTGAGTTCCAGCATCTTTTTTTTTTTTTTTTAGAAAAAAAGCACTGGATATATATATAGATATATAGATATAGATACAGTAATTTGTTAATAGCTTTTAAAGTGAATTCTGAAAATTGTGGTACCACTGATTTCCATGAGACATAAACATTGATTCTAAACATGCTTATCTGGAATTAAATTCCCGAGCTCAACTGGACTTATTCTAAAGTTCTTTTTTAAAAAAAACATTGAAAGCTTTATAGCATCTGAATGATTAACAAATGTCTTAATGACATAAATTCCTATGGACCTTTACTAGATTTATTTTATATTTTTTGAGAATGTCTCAAGGAAAATTTGAATGTCATATTCATATCCATTATTTTAAGATACATTTTCCTTGAATGTTCTTTCAGAAAAGGTGAATTGGAAGAAAGTTGGAACTGAAAATCCATGTTCATAATTTCCCTTAATATCTGGGAAGACACATATTTCCCTAGTTTTTCTTTCAGGATCATGACCAAACATTTTATTGCCAGGTTATTTTCTGTTTTACGAAACCAGAAACTTAAACAGGAGGCAATTATTTTTTTAAGGTCTGGTAAGAATGATTTATGGTTTTTAATATTTGAGGACAATATGTCACTAGCAAAAAGGAATGTCTGTAGATTGATCTAACACAGATTTGTGCATTTTATGGTCCTCCAGGCCACATCTGGCCCTTTGGCTATCTCTGTCTGGCCTATGTGAGGTCAATTGGAAATTAGAAATCAAATATAAATAAAAATGCCATAGTGGGTGGGAGAAGGGGCCAAATAGGGTACAACTCTGTGCAGTCATCCCCTGTGTTCCTTCAGTTGGCTGGTGATCATGGGAGGGGAAGGAGAGAAAGCAATTTTCTGTGACTGCACTCACCCCTCACCTGGAGCAGCCTGAGGTGGCAGCCGTGGTCATTTGTGAGGGGACCTGGGCTCAGGTCACCGCCGCCTGGGGCAAAGTGTGGCCTTGTAGGCAAGTGGGTGGAATGCAGTCAGAAGCTATTGGGCTGGCCCTTCCAAATGGCCCCTTGGGAAAATTAATTGCCCCCCCATCTAAGAGCATAGGTTCATCTTTCTTAGTGTTTAGTCACATATCTGTTTTGTCCATCTTCTGTATTCATTTGTATTTATTTTTTAAAAAACATAGCTGCATGGAATTTTCACTTCACACATATTTGTATCTCTCTCTCTGTGTTTATGTATGTGTATATATAAGCATTTCATGTTATATATACATTTGTGTATAATAATATCAAAATATGTACATTTGATATTAAACATATGTTCGTATATGTTTACATATGAACATAAAATGTATATATGATTAAAATGCATTTTGAGTCAGAGTTAAAGCAGAAAACGTCTTTCACAAATCTCAAATAAAGCTGGGAGGACAAATGTGTTCCAATTGGCACTTCAGTTGAAAAGTGCAAATGAATGTAGTTTGTATTCAAATGCACCAGCATTTTTGGAAATGTTGTTTCCAAAAACAACAATAGCAATCCTCAAACATACTGGCTTTACCAAAGCTAGAAAAACAAACCAAATATCCAATAGATGTATGCTATGAATTGATAAATATCCAAAGACTGATACAACCATGTAACACTTTATTTTGAGGCACTGCTTTAGAAAAGGAGCATCTAACTTACATTATTAGTTATGCAAATGCCAAATATTTATAGGCAAAATTAAATTTGACATGCTATCAGGTTTTCATTATTCATGAGTATAATTTATACAAACCATTACACTTAAAATATGATATATTTTTCAACAGATTATTAAAAATTAAGTATTTTAACACATTTATATCTTATTTGAATTCAATAAAACCTTGCGATATTACTTCATGTCTATTATCCTGTATGTAAAATAATAAATATTTGTATTATGAAATAAATAAAATACTTACTGTAAACTGTATTTGGCAGCCACCCATTATGTAATCTAAGAATGAATGCATCTTGTGAATCTGGAGTAAAGAAAGTAATAAATCTGGGTTTAAAATCATGTATTCTTTAATATTTCCCTTTTCTGTTATATGGAAATATATATCTTTGCAACCATTAGTAATTTAGAGAACATTGAGAATAAGCGATACAGGAAATAATATCCCTCATGGCAAAAATAAATATTCCTCCCTTCTCCCTATCTTTACATAAAGGAGAAAAAAAAATCATAGCATAAAATTGTTTTGAAAGAGAGTTGGAGATTATATAATCATGTGGAGTTCCAAGCTGAGATGTCTTTTAATGGGAATGGATTTGGGATTTCCAGAAATGGACGACATTCTATGGTTCAATGCCACACTTAGGGTTGCTACAGCATCCCAAAACCAGTGCACCATTGACAGTAAAACTCAAGATAAATCTGTCCATCATGTGAAGTGTTGGGGGAATGAAAAAAGAAACATTCTGTTGCTATTGTTGCTGCTTGCTTAACTCCTGCTTGCTTATCTTGTGCTTGCTTATTTTTCAGAGCAATAAGTGTCTTGGAAAAAAAAGTTCCACTTATGTCTTTGCAAATGCAGGAAGAGAGCAAAATAGTTTTAACATCACCTGTGGGAATCCCACAATATGATTCTTCAAAGTCAATTTGTTCATAACCCTTCCAAGCCAAGCACTATTATAAGGAGCTATTTCTATCTATTTCTCCTCGTGGAGTAGGACATCCTTTCCTAAGGTGATACATGTGGACTGCACTACGAAAAACCCCCAAACTTCGATCTCTCTTGATATAATTCCACAGTGAATTATACATCACTGAAATAATAAAACTTTGTGTTCTTTTCTGTGGAGAGCTTCTAGAACTATTAATTACAAAATGCTGTACAACTATTTTGCTCTTTACTGCTTAATTTTTTAAAATTTCATTTTGATCCAATGAAAAAATACATAAGTGTATAGGAAAACATACATGAATAATAACATCTTGCCAAATTCTAAGAATATAAATGGTGAGATAAAAAGATTAAGATTTCCTTTGGTAAATCTTGACACATGGTGATTAGATAGACATATTTTTGTAATTATCCCTGAAACAATACAGAAATGGATTGCTTCTGCTTTCTTCCAAGTTGTTTTTCCTTAAAAAAAAAATCTCCCTATAACCCTGAGAGTTTGTGATGTCTCCCATACATGTATTAACCAGATCTGACAATGTCTCAATTAATGTCTCAATTATAATAAGTTTCTCTAACTCCTCCATCTGGATACCCAGTGGTTACATTTCTGGCAATTTCAGGCTATGTAGCTACCATCATCTGGACCAAGAAAACATTAAACTTCTTTTTCATTTAAAACCATTGCATTTAAAGTATGGATGGTTCTGAAGTAACTTCAGTGCATCATGATGCTTGATTTATTAAATCCCATTTTCTTTTCTAGTAGATTATCCAGTTAATTCCTGTATTGTGAGCACAACTAAGTTCAGTAATGGTACTATATCCTTGGCTTACATTAGCTAGGTTCAGAAGCTAAGCAAGGTTGGATAGGAAACTACCAAGAATAGCTGATCTTATCTAAAACTCAAAACATGTCCCAGAATATGACAAACACAAAGACAATTCTTTTGATATGCCCAGAGATAACCAGAATTTAAACTTAACTTTAACAATATCTTTTAGTATAATTAAGCAAATGTATTCCTTTGAATATACATGGCTAACAGATTGAATGTATGAGGGTCAATGCCCATTTTGGATCTGCAGCTGTCAACCCAATGAAAATGTTGATCTACCTTGATGTAGCAACATCTGCTATCCTACCTTTGGGAATCCCACAATATGCATTTTTATGACATGTTCTATTTTTAGCACATATAAAAATCTACAAAATGTGGACAGCAATCCAATTCCCTCTCCTCTATTTAATTTTGTCAGGGATGTTGAAAACAATACTTTCACATTCATTATTAAAACACTGCTTAAATAAAAGCACCTTGCACAGATTGAGAATGACGATGCCAGAGTTCTTGTAATTCTTCTTCTTTACTTTATACTTGGGGTTTATACACTCCCACTGAACCTGTGAAAACATAAGTCAAAGCATGAAAGTCATGTCTTCATTTATCATTTACTCAGATTACATAATGTGCAATTGAATCTATACAAAACATCATAAAAAACAACCACAAGCTATTAGAACAAATACGTAAATATAATTTCAGCTACTTGAGAATGTTGCTAACTTTGATTTGGCAAGCTCTTATTGCAAAGTTGTTCCATTATGGGCATATGCCATTCCATCATTCCATCACCATTTCAAAATAAAGGACATGACAGAGATGATCAGAAGCCATATTGATTGCTGATCTGCAAATGGATTTTTTTCTATATAGAAAATTCATTAGTTTTCATAAGATTTCCTTGACATTTTACATTTTGAGTCTACACACTTCCAGGTGAATGCTCAGATCAAGTTAATATTAATCACAGTTCTGGGACAAGCAGCCAAAGACTGTATCAGAATCCTCTGATTTATATCAAAAACTAACTAATTCAAAGACTTGTCCCTAGAAGATTGCAAGTGAAGATAGCAACAAAGATGATTAGGGGACTGGAGGATAAAACATATAAGGTTGCTGGAATTGGGTATGTCTAGTTTAATGAAGAGAAGGACTAGGGAGTGACATGATAGCAGTGTTCCAATATCTCAGGGGTTGCCACATAGAAGAGGGGGTCAAGCTATTCTCCAAAGCACCTAAAGGCAGGACAAGAAGCAATGGAGAAACTAATCAAGGAGAGAAGCAACCTAGAAGTAAGGATAAATTTTCTGACAGAACAATTAATCAGTGGAACAACTTGCCTCCAGAAGCTGTGAATGCTCCAACACTGGAGGTTTTTAAGAAGAGTCTGGTCAACCATGTGTCTGAAATGGTATAGGGTTTCCTGCCTAAGCAGGGAGTTGGACTAGAAGACCTCCAAAGTCCCTTCCAATTCTGTTATTCTATTCTATTCTATTCTATTCCATTGTGAAACCTATAAGAAGTGTATGTATATCATGCCAACTCCACCACATCTCTCATAACAGCTAGTATTCATAAGTTCACTTCTCTTTAATTATTGTAACTAAATCTATTAATAAAACTTTTGGAAGAATATTCCAATAGTAAATTTTGTAGTCTGTGAAGAAGTGCTTTCTTTTGTCCATAAAAAACAAGACTGAAAATAATTAAATATTTTGTAACAACCATACCCAATTTGGCCATTGTCCCAATCTGTATACTTCAGCTCCTTAAATTTTCAACATGGCAATTGTAGCTAGATAGTCCTCCATACACCTGAAGGACACTGCAACAAGCTGCTTTATATGGCCAGATTTCCCCTAGTGTTCTCTAACTGTTACCTGAGCCAATGAGTTGCCATATTACCTTGTTGACATATGCTTTAGTGATATCCAGTCCAGTGACTTCTTCTCAAAGGCTGTTATGGGGTAACAAACTAAGCACTGAGTCCCAGATCCTAGATTCTTCTTAATAAACAGTCTAGTCCTAGTCCTTAAGGAAATTAAGTGCTATTCCCTAATGCAGCCTTCCCCTTCCTTAACTTTATGCCTTCTGTATATATGTTAGTCAGCACTGCCATTGTCTGGGCTGAATTGAGATCATGGAAACTGAGGTTCATCACATGTGAGGGACATAATATTGGGGAAAGTTGGTCTAGTACAAACAAGTAAATGTTGAGATTAATAGTTTAAAGTCCTAATGTGTTAATATAAATTTTATGCGTATGGATGAATAGCTAAGAAATTAATTTAAACTGAAATAAAATCACTGCTGGATATATTTCCAAATAAACAAAATATTTTATGGCTACTTAATGTATTAGGCATTGATACTGATTTATTCTCCATTCCAGCCAAGCCAGAAATTTAATTTTTATTTTTGTATTATTTTAATTTTTATCCAATAATATAAATGCATTTTTCTGCCTATTTTTCCTATGCATGTTATTCTGGTTCAGTCCATTAGTGGACTCATCTGCTTCTACAAGCATTTAATCTCTGTGAAAACATTTAATGGATTTGAACATATTCTTTGAAGGGTAAATAATCAGCCATGCTAGGAGAGGCCACTTAGTTCTGCAGTCACAGATTGCTTGAAATGACAATTTACACTTACAACACACTCTGATATTTAGCAATTCACTCAGTTCAATGGAATTTATTTCCAAGTTAGTGGGCAAAACCTGTGCAACGTATTTGGGAATACGTTCCACTGAACTTAATGGTATTTTGAACAGAAATATGCAAGACAGCATAGGAAGGAGGACACGTTAGTCTACTGTGACCAAAGAAGTCTGGTAGCACCTTTTTGATAAACACAATATATTAAAAGGTATACAATTTTGTGAGCATTCTGAAAACCAGAAGTTAGCAACTGTTTAGCAATCCCAAAAGACTTAACATTGCTTACATATGTACATTGGCTGAGATCTGTCTTTTGTAATTGTTTTTTTCCCATTTCATTTTTTTATTTTCCAAGGCTGTTTTAGAGTTTTGGTATGTTTCTGCATCAAAATCGGAACGCAATCTTCTGAATATTGGAAATATAGATGCAAAAGATCAAAGCTGGTTGTAACAACCAGTCAAACTTGGAGAATTAAAAAAAAGCTAAGTAGAGTCAGATCTGCTTAGTAATTGAAGGGCGACCACAAGGAAACTCTAGGGACATAAGCTAGAATCAGAAGTTTTTTTTAAAAAAATGGGAAGAATGCAATCAATGATATACCATTTATATGATGTTGCCAAGAAAATTGCATAATCTTGTCCATGTAGTCCCCAAGATAGAAGCTTGATTTGAGGAAGACTTTTGTTTGAGAACTAGGAAAGTCTCCAGGAATTCCCAAAAAAGGGGTTTTGATAACACCACACTGAGACTGGAGGTTCCCTTTTACCATCAAAATAGTAAAAGTAGAATCATGGATATAACTAGTGTAAATGTTCTGTAATTAATTTCTTCTTGTGGCATTAACTCTTTTTCTAATGATTACTAATTATAATTTGATAGCTGTTCCTGTCCAGTTGTTTCAGTGCAGAGTTTTCAGCATGAATACATGAGCTGTTCATGAGACTATGCTAACCCCTCCTCTCCGAGGTAGAAAATGTGTAATCCCACAGTATGATTTTGGACTCTGACAACAATGAGTTTATATACACCCTGCTTATATAGACATACATCAGAGCTTGGGAGAGCTGGGATTTTTATTATAGCCAGTGCTTTTTTTCTAAAAAAAAATGTGCCAGAACTCACACACATCATACAACCCGCCTTGCCTACCCTACAAGGTTCCATCCAAAAAAGGTGCTGGAACTCCGTTCTGGGCGTTCTATGAGAAAAAAAGCCAATATCCAAAGAAAAGGTTAACAGATTATCCACCTCTGTTTTTGTAGTCTGGCTAAAATGGACCTGCACAATCCAGAAAGACAACAAGAGGGTTTTTTCTAAAATAGAAAGCCCAGATAGTTGAGCATTTTTTCTTAGATCTCAATATTCATGCTGAGATTTTTTTCCCAGCTAAAGAAACACACAAAAAGAAAAACACATATTACTGAGAATTTTTTAATATTTTCTTGCCCTTTTGTTTTCTGGAGTACTTGCTCAAGTTCACACTCCACCCACCCACCCTGCACTCCAAATGTTCTAAAGACAAAACAATATTCTGCACGATTTAATTGAAAACACCATAGATAGAGATGTGTTAAATTTAACATTCAAATCTGTTCCTTTCAGCTTACTGCACCTATTTTCCTCCATTGGGAATACTGAAGTCTCATTTGGAGCTGTCCAAAATTGACAAAATGTGTTGGTATTCAAAATCAAAGGCAACCACATTTTTCATAATTTAAGTGTTAGATTTCTAAAAAAAAAAATCTGAAATTCAAAATTTAAGTTTAAATCCAGTGGATTTGAACGCTCAACTCTTTTAGTCCTCTTATTTTTTGTAAGTACAATAAAAAATTTAATTTTCTATAAACCCAAAAACTAGAATTGTTAGTATTTCATCCAAGAAAGAAAATGACAATTAGCATTGGTCTTAAACTGATAATCATAATAACATAAATTGTGTTTGTCTGTGATAAATCATTTATTATCATTGACAGTCAAAACATTAAGCATATTGATTGATTGACTGATAGATATAAATCAATAGGTATTATTATGATCAATTATCGCTGTTGGATTTTTTTTGAAGATTATTTTGAAGACAATTTATGTGTGGGATCCTTTCTGAGCTTGTTAGTTTTCTTGCAGACATTTCATTACCAAACTAGGTAACAGTATCTATGCTACCCTTTATTTTTTAAATACTTGTTAAGGTCAAATCAAGAGTTATTTTAGATTTATGTTGCATGTTGCATATCTATGGAAATATTGGCTTCGGACACATAATTTTTAAAAATCTGTGGGTCCAGAGGGAAACTACAATGATAAAAGAAGCTTTTTCTTTAAGATTAACTCCTGCTGACCTCATCAGAGGCATATTGTGTCACTGTGTAAGAAATTTTATTGTGTCACTGTGTAAGAAATTTTATGAACTAGAATAGCCATAGCAACAACCAGCTAATGAGAACTGTTTTGATTAAGACACAGTATTGGCTGTGTGAGGCATGTGATCCAGCCTAAGTCTGGGTGTGTCTTAGTCTTCTCTGTGTTGTTTTTCTTCTGATCTCCAAGTTAAGAATTGTTGATGTTCCCCAGAGTGGAATGAAACTGTATGTATCATGTTTATATATATTTTATAGATAAAGTTTTTCTAAACTATGCCTCCTGTTCATTTTGAATGTGTGCTTATTTTTGCGCTGGAAAGCTGTAAATTCTAACAGGTTATGGGCCCAGATCCCAGCCAGCCCTTGCACACAGTTCAGACTGAAGAAAAAGACTGAGGCTCAACATGGAGCTGTAAAAATCGGATGAGGGACTGCCTGAATTAAGAAAGAAAAAGGCTGCTCAGCTGGAGGCTTGCAGAATGGCTGATTTAAAGGAGAGCTCTCTGCCTCGACTGGGACAAAAGAATTATCTTATT